CCCCGGACGCCAGGTCAGGAATTTTTCTATGAGGCACCGACCATTCACTGACATCCGATCAGATCATCTTAGTAAAACCCGGGCACCCCTTAGCCCCCAGAGCGTATACCCCTCACACGCCAGAGGAGAGGAGGTCAGGGTAGGGAAGGAGGTGCGATGACTTCTTGCAGAGACCATTTTTTTTTAGAATAACGTACCAGGCGGATCTCCCTTTAAATCCCCCGGGGGCCCTCCCCTCGCCCTCCCTCCCCCTCCCCCCACCCAGCCCCCCCCCTGCTGCCCCCCCGGCCCCCTTGCTGCGGAGAGTCCGGAGCTCCGGCCCGGTTGCCACTAGGCGGATGAAGCGGTCATCCGATCTGTCAGCCGGTGATCATGACATGCCCGGCCGGGTGACTGTGTGACAGCCTGTGACGCCGGGACGCCGCCGAGTCCGTCAGGCCGGGCCGCCGGGCCGGGCCACGGCGCCACCGACCGGCGGACACTGAGTTAGGGGCATCCGCCGTTGACTCCTGGTGCCCCAGCCTCTAAGTTCACTCAAACTGAAACGGTTAAGCCAAAATCAGCACCGTAGGACAATCTTGGCATGGCACTGAGGAGACTCTACCATGATAGAGGGCCCGGCGCCGCCAATCGGCCTTCCGAACTGAGTTCCCGGCTTCCGACTGAGAGTTCTTTGGAGTTCGGTCAAGTTTCCGAGCCGAGTCGAGCCCGAGCCCGGGCCCGCCCCCCCGGCCCGCCCGGCGGCGGGTGCTCGAACTTACGGCGGCGGGTGCTCGAACTTATAAGTACGAAAAGTTTCCTCGTACTATGGCGACAGTGGCATCGGCAAGATGGCCGAAGCGCATGCTGGTATGCACCAGCAGGTGGACCATGTCGAGCGCTTTCAGGCACAAGGAGAACTCCATGCTCTCTGCCCCTCTCATCTGCCGCCTCCATGCAGGTTCGAACTTGATCCATGGCAGAGAACAGAAGGTAACTCTTGCTGGAGCTCGGACGCTCTGGTCATGGGGGAGTGCGGACCATGGAAGAGGAGGATCAGGTGGCCACACCGATGCCCCCATCTTTGAAGTCATCCAGAAAGAACCGGAGAAGGTCGAGAAACCAGTGCTTCCAGCCAAGCTCATCAAGAAAGTTGCGTGCGGTGGAGCGCACAGCATGATCGTGACGGAGTCAGGAAGGCTGCTGACATGCGGGCTCAACGACAACGGGCAACTTGGACTAGGAAACCTCGAGAACGCCAGCGAGTTCGAGGAGGTGAAGGGGACAGAGTCCATAGCTGACGTGGCTGCTGGGTTCTGGCACACCCTCGCAGCATCCAAGAAGGGCAAGCTCTACGCGTGGGGCTCGAACAAGCACGGGCAGCTGGGGCATCATGACACTGCTGTCAAGTTGGCGGTGGAGCCCCAGGAGATCCTTCTGCTGCGAGATGCTCCCATCAAGCAGGTTGCCTGCGGTTCCTACCACAGCATGGCGTTGACCAAGGACGGGGAGGTATACACATGGGGGTTCGGAGCGCATGGGCGGCTGGGCCATGGCTCGACTGAGGACGAGTTCATGCCGAAGCGAGTGGAAGCACTAGTGGGAGAGAATATCTCTTCCATCCATGCAGGGTTTGAGTATTCGAGTGCCGTGAGCACAAGTGGCAAGGTCTTCGTGTGGGGGTACGGTCATTTCTATGTGCTGGGCCAGGGAGACAAGAAGGACCAGCTGGCGCCTGTTGTGCTCGACTTCCCCACGAGCATCAGACAGCTTGCTTTCGGCTCCTTCCATGCTGCCGCCGTCTCGCACAGCGGGATGCTGTTCACTTGGGGACATGCTACTCACGGTCCTCTCGGACATGGGTTGAAATCCCCGAACATCATCCTGGAGCCAACTGTTCTTGATGCACCCGCACAGGTATCTCGATCTTTCCTCCTCCTCCCTCTCCAGCTTTCAACCTCTTGCCTTGTCCCTGAGTCCTCGGACATGATCTCTCTCTATTGCCAGCATAACCTGCACTCTCCGTTTCTAACCATCTGTTTTTGTTCTGTAGTTGCAGAACAGCAAGCAGGTAGCATGCGGATCGCAACACACGCTTGTCGTTACTGGTGTCCTTTGCACGCCCCATCCTTCTTTCCTCCCATGACACGTCATGCCAGGCACCGGCGATGTCTTCTCTTTCGGGTTGGGTGGTCAAGGTCAGCTCGGGCTGGGAAGTGACTTGGACCATTATGAGCCGAAGCAGGTGAAGGGAGTCCTGTTGTACTGGTCCCTGACTCCTCCTCCTGCTCTAGATTCCTCGTTTTGTGGGCAAGTCCCTGCGGCAGGTCGCGTGCGGTCTGTTCCACTGTATTGGTTTTTGAATGCAACTCCCTCCTCCTTGGCCTCCCCCTCCTATGCTATCAGCCACGTCCTCCCTCCCGGTGAGAAGACGGTCATGTTGCGGGACGATGCGAACTCGTCTACTGCCTTTTTTACACCTGCCCAACCTGAGCGTGAAACGTGAGCAGGGTGGAGGGTGGTGGGGGTGGGTAGGGTGCAGGAGGGAGAGGGTAGGAGGGAGTAGGTAGGAGGGGAGGTGTAGCAAAGTGAAGGAGGCGGGGGGAGCGAGTTCCAATCAGGTACACGACAATTCTCTGTAACATCACCATAGTCATCTCCAAACATGATGCCCTTGGGCGAGAGGATGGGGAAGTAGTTGGCAATATCGGCTCTGCGGAAGGAAAGCTGTAAGAGCTCGATGAGAGGTCTCCGTCCTCCTCTCCCTCCCACCTCCCGCCTCCCGCCTCCACCGTCCTGCCCTTTCTTGTTTTTGCCATCTTTTTCCTTCTTCCTCTTCCTTTTCTTCCTCCTCTCCCTCCTCCCTGCCTCCTGCCTCCTGCCCTTCCTTCTGCATCTTTCCTACTGCCTTTCCTTCATTCTTTTCATCCTGTCTCCTGTCTCCTTCCTGCCCCCCGCCTGCTGCCTACTCCTCACTTGACATCATCGTAGTCATGGTTCCCATCAATGAAGATCAAGTCCGCCAAGGGGAGGTCCTGCGTCTTCTTCACTTCACATCCTCACGCCGCCGCCGCAACCTCTCTGTCCAGCAAGTACTTAAGGTACTTGGACGCGATGTTGGCGGGAGCCGCGATGGGGATGACGACTGAGGAGAATCCTGAGGAGATGATGTTGTGCATGAATTCTCGTTGAACCGTAGGATATCCTGTCGAAGATTTCACAAAGGTTGGAGAGACTGGAGAGGAGGAGGAGGCAAGGGCGAGAGGGGACAGGGAAGGTACGAGGAAACAAGATGAATGCGTCTAAATTATCTCACCGTTCTTGAGGGGAAGTCGCTGAGACTTCAGGTCTGTCGAAGTCCCCAGCCAAGTGTCGACGCAGATTATTTTCGTCCGACATCCCCAACTATCAGCGCAAGAGGAGCATTACCCACCCTCCGCACTTTGACGGCGCTCACCCCTTGGCTCGCAGTACGCTTCCCATCTGGATGGCCGATCCTCCCTTCCAGCTGCCAACCTGCCGGGCAAGACGAGAAGCTGAGGAGGAAGAGGTGCCTCGAGCTCGCTGACGTCTCTACCTCGATGATCAACTTGGGCTGGGTCAGATGGATCAGCGAGGCCATCATGTTGGTATCGTGCCCCTGGTGCTCCCCAGCCGAGAAGGTCAGCCCCTGGTGGTCAAGTCAGACATGTTGCAACGGCAGCATCCTGAAGCAGCAGCGCCGACCGTGGAGTCGAAGTCACTGTAGGGGTTCTGAGGATGGATCTGCCTGAACACGGCAGAGAGCTCGTGCTCATCCTCTGACGGACAGGCCTCAGCCCCACCTGAGGACCGTCGTCAGCCGCGGATCTCGGAGACAGGAAAGTCTCTTCCCTCGCTCGAGAGCACATCTGCTGTCGTCCGAAGCTTCTCGTCGTCTCCAAGTGCGTAGGTGACTTGTGACAGTGTCCCCCCTTGGCGGAGAAAGGCATGGACTACTTGGATCTTTCAAACGCAAGTGACCCCATACAACTCTACTTATCCCATAAGCTCCCTCACCAGCTCGCCCTTGAGCCTCCTCGAACTGATCTCCTGATCGATCTGGAATACAAGCCTGCACCGGCCATTCCTCCATCAGCCTGCAAGACTCCTCCTCCCCCCGCAGAGCAAGTTACCTCAAGTGTTCAGCAATATTCCCCATGTCTCCTCCTCCTTCCAGTCCTCGCACAGCCTGCTTGCACCATCATGGCTGCTTCAACCTTGCTTCACCATGAGGCGTGCCTCTATGATGTGCGATCGTGCAGTCTCCAACATTCTCTCTTCTCCTCCGCTGAGCGTCGGGAGGGAAACCCCCGTGCTACCTGAGGAAGAGACCTCTTTCTTCAGCGCCATGCTGCTATCAAGCACTCCCCAACCTGTCCCTGGCTCGGCAATGAAGTAGCTCACGCTCAGATTCTTGAGCTCCACGTTGCCCTCCTCCCCGTGCGGCAGCTCAAACAATCTGACTGTCGCAGAGTGCATTCCCACCTGCAAGGGTTGTGAGCACCCGCTGTCAAGCTTGCTGCTGGCAACTTGTTGCCCCATGATCGAGACTTCATACTCAAGTTGCTTCTCCTCGAACGTTCGGATGATCCTCCCGTCAACCTGCATCCCTCCCTTCATCTTCCCTCGTCCTCGGGCCGAACCTGCAGGACCTCGAGGACGGCGAAGCCATCTTCATCTGCACTTCTCTCAAACAAGAAGACAGCCTGTGAGCATCAAGGAACAAATCAGATCTCTCTCACTCCGCTGAGCGGGAAGATACCTCCGAAGTGTCATAACTTCGACCATCTTTGGGGATCCTGAACTCCAACGATGAACCTGGGTGTTTCTTCAGAGCGTCATGAGCTTGAAAAGCCACAAGCTTCACCGTGTCCGGCGAAGAACACGCCCAGGGTAAGTAGAATGACGGAGAACCTGACCATTTCTTGTTGTGGACTCTTATCCTTCACCCTCAATAGACCTGTGCTGTTCAAGGCAAAGCCACAACGTTGAACCCGACAGTCTTTCTCACTATCTACATCAGCATGCAAGATCCCAACAGATATCTATGCAGGAACCACCGAGGCAACGCCGTTGCCACCCTGTTTCTTTTTTCGCTCCTCTGTATTCCTTCTCTTCCTCTTCCTCTTCTCTTGCTTGTCGTCCGTCGGTGCCGCGCTTTGCGGCTTGTCGCAATGATCCTGTCTTTCAGTCCCGGTGTTGCCCCTCTAATTAGGCTACACTCGGGTCGGCCCGGGCCCCGGATCCGTGGCACTGCAGCCGGATGATCCGACCGGCGTCCGACGCGCGCGGCCCGGCCCCCAGGCCTCAGGCCGGGCATCAACTTGACTTGCGGCCGCTGAGTGCCGCGGTGCAGTGCCACGGCCGGCCACCGTAGTCCGCCGCCGGGCCGGCGCCCCGGCCGGCGCATCACAGGCCCTTCACCAATGGTAGTACGGTACGGTCCGATCATCATGGCATGTAGCGGGGGTGTTCACAAAGTTTCAAGAATAGCCTGTAAAGTTGGGTCTGTAAAAGTTTAGCCTGTAAAGTTGAGACTGTAAAGTTTGTCGGAGTACCCTAGTACCCACTCAGCACTACTACCGGCCGGGTGACGGGCCCGGTCCACGGCACGGTTTCGGATCAATTTTTTTTCCCCACAATTTTTTCTTCACCCAGTTACGATAGGTGCTGATAACCGAGGGGGTGGGGGTTCAAAACCAGGGATGGTGGGGTAGATCAGGAGACATTTTTCTCCTTCCAGGATGGCCACCATCACCCCCCAGGATCTGATCGACTTTGCGTAGAAAGGGTGTGGTGGGGTCATGGAAACAATCGACGAGGGGGAGGGGTAATATTGATTTTTGGGGGGTGGGGGTCATGGATCCATTCGTTTTACAGCAATGGTGTTTCGATTCAGTAAAACTTGAGTCCGGGGTGGGGGTGGTGAAGAGTAAGGGTAGAAGGTACGGAGATTGAATATACGGTGGGTAAGGTGATTTTATGGGGGTGGGTAGAATAAATGAGGGGTAGGGGTACATAATCAATTTTATACTATAATTATGCAGAGAGATTGATCAGAAATGGCCATAGATAAAATCAAGAAGGGCATTCATGAAGGAGCCGACTTGTCGAGAAATCTGATGTATGCGGGGTGGGGTGATTATCCCAGGGATAAGGAATGATGGTGGGATAAATGGATGGGGTAGGGGTTATCCGAAGGTATTTTGTCGGGGGGTGGGGATCCGGACACATAACAAGTTTGTATCACGAAAATTCAGCAGCAAGGTGTACGAAGAACAGAGTAGAACAAGGAAGAGGAGAGGAGGAAGAGGTAGCGTATCGTGTAGTCTGACGTGCACGAAGGAAGAGATTCAGGGATGGTTGCTTGAGAGACAATGGGGGTGGTGTTTCAAGCATGATCTTTATAGAATGTTTCTCGATTCGAGAGTCGGTTCTCCACGATCATGGTCAAGTGTGTAGTAGTTTTTTCAAAGAAAGTACACGCTCTCACAATGCAATGACTAGCACGTAATATACAAGATGCCAATTGATGTCCTTGTGGTGTTCTGATATCTTTTGTGTCAGGAATCGGGAAGCATGTTCCGAGTTTCTTCGCTCGCGCTTTCCCTTGCGCTGTTTGCCGCTTCCTCGCAAACATCCTTCGCGTTCCTCGGGGCCCCAAAGTTGAGTGCCATGAAATCAAGACCTGTGCTCCGCAACAACGCCTGCTCCACAAAGATGGTGTTCTGGTCCAGCAAGTCAAAGTATGCTGAGGAGAACGAGAAGATCGTGAAGCCACTAATGAAAGCCAACAAGAAATGGATCAAGGAGAAGAAGAGCCAGGACCCTGAGTTCTTCACCAAGCTCGGACAGACGCACAAGCCCGAGGTCTACTGGATTGGATCCTCGGATTCTCGTCTTGCAGCCAACGAGATCATCGGAGCTGAACCTGGCGAAGTGTTCGTCTCTCGTAACATGGCCAACATTGTGAGCAAGCACGACATCAACCTCATGAGCGCCCTGCAGTATGCCGTCGACTACCTCGAGGTACCTCACATCATCGTCTGCGGCCACTACAGCTGCAGCGGAGTTAGGGCAGCCCTGAACAACGAGAACTTCGCGAGCCCGTTGGAGAACTGGGTGGCACAGATCAGGGAGGTTTACCGCATCCACGCTGAGGAGCTGGAAGCTATTGAGGACAAGGAGGAGCGTCTGAGAAGGCTGGTGGAATGCAATGTGATCGAGTCATGCAGGTCGGTCTATGACCTGACCATCGTACAGAACCGGTTGAAGGCTACTTCCCAGAGTCAGTTGTATGCCACTCCCAGGATCCACGCTCTCGTCTACGATGTTTCTTCTGGAGAGCTCAAGAGATTGAACTGGGTGGATCCGGATATGGAGGACCCCTACGAAATGAAGTACGATCTCGAGCAGATCCGAACCAAGCCCCTTGAGTTCGCAACATTGTAAGGAATGAGTGCATGCTTCTCTTTTTCATGTCCTTCACTGTTTTTCCCCCCTTGCTAGATTACAGATGGTGCGTTATATAAAGTTAAATTCTAGAATGAATTATCAGGCGATGATTGCACTAAAAATTTATCAGATATTTCATCCTCCCAAAAACAGTGTCCGAATTCTATCCATCTTCCTTTCACAACTATCGTTACATCTCAAGAGTTCTAATCTTGCTCATCTTCTTGCTGCACCCAGTTGTACACACCCTGGGTGTACGCCCACATAGCAAAGCTTGGGAGCGCAGCGATACCGGTGATAACGATGAGACTTAGCACGTCCTGAATGCGATGCCAGTCTGCATTCGGAACCAGGAAACCCGAAATCAGCACGTTGACCGGGACCGCAACGACGGTCGCAACCTTGGCGATACCTTGCATGTTAGAGTTGTCAAGCGTTTCCTCCTTGGAGAGGAATGACAGCAGGCCCAGGACAGGAACCCAGAGTGCGATGAGTTTCAGCGCCCCCGCACCCAGTTCAGCAGGAGAAACACTTGCACCCTCCTTCTCCGCGAGGAAATCTTTCCTGATCTTCTTGCTGTAGACCTCCTTGGAGCTTCCTTCCTCACCCTCGCCCGCTCTCTTGATCATCATCCGGACACTGTCCACCGCTTCCTCTGCCGCCTCCGATGGGTTCGTCACCCCGACAGATGGTCTCTTGTCGATTGACATGTGCATGATATCAGATCTTGTGACTTTGTGATATGAAGGCTCTAGCGTTAACTCGTTCGCTGAAACGGGGCTTGCCAGCGCCAAGGAGACGAGCAGGGCCCCACAAGATGCCTTGAACGCATCGAGAGTCTGCAACTTGCTGTCCCCTTTGTGATGTTGGGCCTGCATAACAGACCAGCTGCAAGTGCTCTGTCTCCGTGCGACACATTCCAAAGGGCGCGGCTGGGTTCGAACGATCCTCAATGACGCGAAGGCATCGCAGGAGGCTAGATACGTCAGGGCGATCGCTGCGAGGAGAACGTGGTAGCTTCTCATGTTGCCCAAGACTTGCTGAAGACAAGGCAGCTCGATGATGAACACGTCAGAAAAGGTCGGGAGAGGAGAAGGCAACTACTGCGAGGAGGGTGAAGTGGTGGCTGGAAGGCGGATGAGGGGGACTGCGAGACCTGCGTAGCGCCTGGGGTTTGTTTATGAGAGGACATTCGTTTTAAAATATATTTAGAAAAGCTCACGGTAATGATTTAATATTCAACTTTTTGGTTAGTACCAGAGAGATCTGATTTAAAAAGCACATCTCTAAAATGAGAAACTCAGTTTACAGCCTTGCCTTCGCAGGGACGGGTCACTTCAGCGTGACCGGGCCGGGCCCGGGCCGCCGCCGGGGCCTGCCGCACTGCGGACTCTCTGTGTAAGAAATTTGAAGTTGGGAAGTCATTCGGGCCGGTTTACTCCGAAAGTCTCGTAAGTAAAAATCAGTACGTGGACAATCAGGAGAGTAGCCTGAGGAGGCTTGACCCGGCCCGGCGGGCCGATTGCCCTGACACAGTGTCGCACGCCGGCCCGGGTCACGTTGGGAAAGTTGGGTCACGGTCGGACTCGGACTGGCCGGCGGACCCACTGGCACGGGGTGACACGGCCCGGCCGTGGGGCCCGGGGCCAGGCTGTGAAGCCATCATTTTAAAAAAGTCAACCGGCGGCCGAGCCTGATGAAATGAATGATGCTCATCTTTATTTTTTTAGTTAACGATAGCTGTAAAATCCCTCGTTATAAGTAATCGAAACAGCACGATTTCGGTGTTTTTAAATCACTTGTTCAACAACTATTGCCGTGCCACGACATCTGTGATCCTTTTCCCCAACCCGTGGACCTGGTTCTCCCCTCCTCCTCCTCCCGCCCCCGCACATCCTCTCTCTCTTCTCACAGCAGTACCCTCCAGGTCCTGAATCGGATCCCTTCCATCCTTGTACCCTCCCTCGTTCCTCCCACCAACATTGGTCGATTGCGTCCCTTGCTCCTACCCAGGTTGTCCTCCAAAGGCTGATCCTTTCAGGAGAACGTTACCATCATGAGATGCCGTCGAGCTGCTCTGGATGTCCTCGCTATGTTGGTACTCATGAATGGAGTCGAAGCATTCTCCTTCCTCACCATCGGGAATGCACGTGATTCTCGGGCCGTCACCCTCGGAAGGAAGGGATGTGCTGCATGGCCGACGGCACGCCCCCGTACAGGTTTGACGAGCTTGCGAGCAAGCACGGAAGTCATAGCGATCGCCAAGGCGGCGGCAGCAGCGGGAGGAGATGCTCTCCTCCGACCCTTCTGGCTCAACGAGATCTGGGGCCTTACCAGTGTCATCATTCTTATAGGCCTCCTCTACGAGAAGGCGGAGAAGGCGCTAAAGCGTGCTGTTCCACAGACGTTCCTCCCCGTGATCAACGCGATGCTGAACGAGCTGGGCGCCCTGGGCTTTATCAGCGCTCTGGTGTTCCTCTCCACCCACCAGGGGGTCGGCCTGTCGATGCTCAAGAAGCTTGCTGCCTTGTTCGGTTCCAGCATGCACCACGTCATTCACGACTTCGAACTGCTGCACTTTGCGCTGTTCGCAGTGGTGAACCTCTACTTCGTCCAGGTTCTCTTCGTCATCTTTGGGGTGATCAAGACGTACCAGAAGATCGAAGCGTTCGACAAGGTTCAGTTCAGCGGGGGAGGCTCGAGCCCCTCCAAGTGGGAGGACAGAGACTCGAGGATCGCCATCATCAAGAGCATGTCCATGTACCAGGCAAGCAAGCCCGACAGCTCGCTGCAGGAGAAGATCAGCCGCTATGTCAGCAATCTCTTTGGATGGGACAGGCAGATCGGAGGTATCGTGATCCCCTTGATGCTGTGAACGAGGACTGATGGAGATGATGATGATGATGATGATGATGGAGATGATGATGATGATGGAGATGATGATGATGATGATGATGATGATGATGATGGAGATGATGATGATGATGGCGATGGAGATGATGATGATGATGGCGATGGCGATGATGATAATGATTATGATGATTGCGATTGAGATGATTGAGATGATTATGATGATTGCGATTGAGATGATGGAGATGATGAAAATGAAGTTGGGATCAAGGAATCGATGATGAATTGTGCAGAATTTTTCTTGTTCCGTGAGAGGATGCGGCTGAAGATCGGATCCCACGGCCTTCTTGACTTCACTGCCTACATGGAGAAATCCATCGGCAGGTGAAACTACACTTGTTGCTCCTCCTTTATTCTCCCCCCTCTCTCGTCGCCTACCCCCCCCCCTCCCCTCCCTCCCGTTTGATCTCCTTCATGCTCATTGACAAGCACGCGCAGAGCTCTCAAGACTCTTGTCCACATCCCTGGGAGAGGCTGGGTCACTTTCTGGGCTATGTTCACCGTTGCCATTACTTTGAAGTATTTCTCCCCTGCTCCAGCTCCAGCTCCAGCTCCAGCTGCTGCTCCAGCTGCTGCTCTTCCCTCTGCTGCTCCTTCTGCCCTGCTCTTGCTCTTGCTCTTGCTCTTGCTCTCTTGGTTCCCGCACCTTGCTCTTCCCGCTGCTCCCGCTGTTCCGTCTGCTGCTTTCCTTCTACATTCTTCTCACTTCGCCTTCAGGCAGTACCTGCAGCTACATGGAGTCACGTCAGCCATGGCGCTGTTCGGTATCATCGCAAGCGGACATCTGGTGACATCCAGTCTTCCTCGCCCTCGCCCTCCCGGCGCTCCTCTTTCTTCCTCCTCCTGCTCCACCCTCCCTCCCGCCATTCGTCTTCTTCCCTCCCTCCCCTCCCCCTTCCCCATCCTCGCTCTTCCTTAGTCCCCTGCTTCCGTAGCGCATGCATGACGAAAGTTCGTCAGATCCTGCTGGGAGGTGCTCTCTGGATGCTCGTCAAGGTTTCTCAGGTACGAGACAGCTGGACTTGTTGCCTCCGCTCACACCCGCACAGATCAAGGACATGCTGAGGCCGCGACTGACTGCGGTGAAGGAGGAAGGGGAGGGGAGCAACAGGATGGGAGGGGTGGAGGGGGGGGGAGGGGGGAGGGTATGTTGAGGCAACGAAGGGGAGGAGGGATTGGCAAGGGGAGGGGAGGAGAGGAAGGGGAGTAGAAGGAACTTTGTGGGGATCAGAGCTGTAGCTCTGATGCTGCTGGGGTCAGAGGGCTCTGGAGCTCGTGAGGAAGAGTGAGAGCGGCGGGTTGTCGTCGACGCCTATCAGAGCCGTTACGGTCTTTGACAAGATGGGAGCCGAGACCGACCTTTGGTGAAGCATCCCTCCCAATGACCTCTGCTCTGCTCTGCTCTGCTCTGCTCTGCTCTGCTCTGCTCTGCTCTGCTCTGCTCTGCTCTGCTCTGCTCTGCTCTGCTCTGCTCTGCTCTGCTCTGCTCTGCTCTGCTCTGCTCTGCTCTGCTCTGCTCTGCTCTGCTCTGCTCTGCTCTGCTCTGCTCTGCTCTGCTCTGCTCTCCTCTCATCTTTCCATTCTTCTCCTTTGCTATCCTCTCTTCTCCTTTCTGCTCTGCTCTGCCCACTTACCTGCGGCTCTCCTCCTCTCTCCTCTTTCCACTCTGCGCGCTCCCTGCTTCCCTACTTGCCCCTACATCTCTACCATCCTCTCACACCCTCTTCTCCCCTCTGTCACTGTTTGCATCTCCTCAGGTCACTTCCATCCCTTCCTCTCGTTTTCCTCTTGTTTTCCTTTCGTTTTCCTCTCGTTTTCCTCCCCCTTCCATCGTCTTACCAACAGCCTCCTCTGACTTTCACTCCTCTTCCAGGGACAGCTCTGTCCTCCTCCATCCCCCCAAGTACCTCGACCTCCCCGGTGATCTCAGGGAGGAGGAGAACCGGTACTGACGGGACCGCAGACGGCGAGCAGCCCGCATGGAAGAGCAAGTGGGAGCAGCAGGCGCTGGGGGGGCCTGGGACTGACTCCTTGCTGCGCTAGGTTGAGATCCATCTTTCATCTCAGAGATCCAAGGTTACCTCCCCCCATCTCTTGCTCTCTCCTGCCCTGCCCTCCCCTACCTCTTTCCTCCACCCTCTTCCTCCTTCCCCTCCCTTGCTCTGCTCTGCTCTGCTCTGCTCTGCACTGCTCTGCTCTGCTCTGCTCTGCTCTGCTCTGCTCTGCTCTGCTGTCCTGTCCTGTCCTGTCCTGTCCTGTCCTGTCCTGTCCTGTCCTGTCCTGTCCTCACTCTACTCCATCCTCCTTTTGTCTTCCCCTCTCTCCTCCCCCTCGTCTCACCTCAGTCCCCTCCTCTGCTCAACTTCCCTCTAGGAACAAGCATGAGAGGCTTTTCGGCCTCTACGGAGCCAACGGGCCGAAAATCTACACTAGCATCTTGCAGGTAAAGGAAGAGAGGCAGAGAATTCTCAGCTCGTGCTTTCCTCGTCCTCCTCCTCGCTCTCCTCTCCTCATACTGCAGCAATCCTCGTCCTCCTCCTCGCTCTCCTCTCCTCATACTGCTGCAATCCTCGTTCTTTCCGTCCTCATCTTCACATCCTCTTCCCATGTTCTCTTGTCCTCCCTGTTCCTCCCGCATGCTTCTCTTCTGTCTTCCTGCATGACTGAGTTTTCTTCTCTTGCTCTCTGCAGGCCATCTTCTTTCTCAGCACCATCCTCCTCACGTCGCAGATCACGCTGCTCTCGGTGAGACAAAACAAATTGTTTCTCTCCTTCTTCTTTTGCTCCTCCTGCTCCTCCTGCTCCTTCTGCTCCTCTTCCTCCTCCCCTCCTCTACCACTACCACCACCATCTCCACCTCCTCTGTCTTCTCGTTCTTCACCTCCATCTCTCTTCCTTCTACCTTGTCTTACATCGCTCCACCAGAATCTTGCTCTGTCCTACAAGCTCGTTACCATCAGCATGTGGGCCTTCACCATGTTCCTCCTCCCCGCCATTATGATGCGACTCAACTTCGCCATCTCCACTGAGGAGCTGACAGACTATGGTGTTCTAAGGTATGTCATGTTATGCTGCTGCTGCTGCTGCTGCTGCTGCTGCTGCTGCTGCTGCTTGCCCCCGCCTCATATCTCATCTGTCCTCGTCATTCCATGGCTGTGCTCTGATTGGTTGGTAGTGAGATTCTCGAAAAACAGAGGCAGAAGCAGGTGACGCCGCCTCCTCCATCTGCCCTCCCTCAACTCCCTTCGCTCCACTCGCCCTCTTCCTTCGCTCTGCTCTGCTCTGCTCTGCTCTCTGATGTTTTCTTTCCTTCAGTTTCTCGTCGGCATTCGCGCCATCCTCGCCTTCCTCGTTCTCTTTCAGAACGGAGACAACAACCTTAACAACAAGATCGAAGTCCTCAGGAAACTTCGAACGCTCCCCCCCGATCAAGTTCCGCAGGTTGTTGGCGTTCCACTTCCCTTTCGTCCTCTCCGCTCATTTCCATTTCTCTCTCCTTCCCTCCCCTCCCCCTTCCCATTTCAGCTGGTCTTCTCCGTCCCTGTCCCATTCTCTTGCCTGTGCTCTCGTTTGAACCTGCTTCGTTTGTCGCTCGCGCTCGCGCTCGCTCTCGCTCTTCCTCTGACAGCATACGCAGAGACGGGCGGTGGAGGAGGAGTACCAGGAGCTGCAGAAGCTCCCGCAGGTGATGAGCGAGGCAGAGCTAGGAACGGAGTGACGAGGAGGCGGCAGGAGGAGATCGGTCTGCTTCAGTACTCCTTCAATGAGGTAAACACTCGATCCTTCCGTCTTGCTCCTTCCCTCCCCCGCCGCTCTCCCGGCCTCCTCTTCCTCTTCCTCTTCCTCCTCCCCCTTCCTCTTCCACCTCTCTGGTCTTCCCCTCCCCCCCCCACCTCCTTTTTCGTATATTCCACTCTCCTCGGCTCTC